TGGAATGTTGCTACATAGAAATGGAAAGTTCACAATTGGGAAGCTGAAATCATCTCATTTGTCGTAAAGTTTTGTTTTCAACCGACCCTCATTGTCAATTTCTAGATGTAAGTCAAGATATGAGGCAGACTTAACTGTATCTGTAGTATCCTTTATCTCTAGTTCGATGGGATAAATTTGTTCAACATAGTCACCAAATTTTGTATTATTTAGTGAGAGAACATCATCTATATAGCGGAACGAACTAACAACAAACTATTTACATATTTATATTGCAACTTTAACACATTTTGGGGCATTTGAAACAATATAAAGTAGATAAAGAGAAACTTTATAGAGCAAAAATAGTCAGCATAGTGAAATCTACAAGAAAGACGATATGGTTGAAATCGTCAGGTTCCTTTCAGGAAGTATGATTTTATCAACTATCTTGAAAACAATAAAAAAAAACGTTAAAAGATAGATAGAAACAGAATTCACAATCACTAATAGGAAATCTACTAAAACGCTGCAAAATAAGAAGTTAAAAAAAGCCAACATAACGGATCCCAATAGATTTAAAATAAATCTAAAAATTAACTGGTCTTGAACATGCATGAAATATATGCCACTTGACGTTTAGTAACCACGATCTATCAATTAAAATGAAAAAATTTTTACCAGGTGAACGATTCAGGTTTTTGTTTATTTGTTCAGTGCTCTGGGGTGTCCATCTGGTATAAGTCATTTGTATTTGACCTCATTTTCATTGATGACTTTTAGCATAAATCTTCCCCAAGATTAAGTCATTGAAAAACTTTAAAGGGACTACCACTAACGGTAAGTTAATAATAAATATTTGTCAGTTAAGTGAAATTTGGTTTGCAATTGAATTAACATTACCAAATCTCGTTCCATAGAGATTGTTTGGCACTGCCCTCCACTTTTCTTCCTCAGTCATAAAGAGAGAATCGTTTGCTTCTAAGTACTAGTCGACCCTTTAAATAAACTTATTCTAAAAGGTTACCAATTCAACACTGTAATTAGATCATTGAATATTGTTTTAATTGGTATTAATATTGATTTTGTTCTCAGTAAATTAAAAGCAAACTAAATATTATTGTTATATACATATACACATTCATGGATCTTCAATCTGTCGATACCTGCACTGCACTAGGTCTTGTTTTTCTCTGACTGTTTATGACATTTTACACTAAATCCATTGGCTGTTGGATGTGTACGGATTGATAATTTAGTCTTAGATGCATGATTTTTGTCGAGCCTGCAACTTTTGTCGCAGAAAGCTCGACATAGAGATAGTGATCTGGCGGCGGCGGCGGTGTTAGCTAACTTTTAAAAGCTTTATATTTTAGAAGGTGGAAGACCTGGATGCTTCATACTTAGTAAATAGATGCCTCATGTTACGATGTTTCTGTCAGTCACATGTCCAATGTCATTGACCTAATTTTCATGGTTCAGTGACTACTTGAAAAAAAAGTTAAGATTTTTTGTAATGTTAAATTATCTCTTATTATAAGTAATATGATAACTATATTTGGTATGTGCGTACCTTGCAAGGTCCTCGTGCCCGTCAGACAATTTTCACTTGACCTTGACCTCATTTCATGGATCAGTGAACAAGGTTAAGTTTTGGTGGTCAAGTCCATATCTTAGATACTATAAGCAATAGGTCTAGTATATTTGGTGTATGGAAGGATTGTTAAGTGTACATGTCCAACTGGCAGGTGTCATCTGACCTTGACCTCATTTTCATGGTTCAGTGGTTATAGTTAAGTTTTTGTGTTTTTGTCTGTTATTCTTGTACTGTATATGCAATAGGTCTACTATATTTGGTGTATGGAATGATTGTAAGGTGTACATGTCTAGCTGGTAGGTGTCATCTGACCTTGACGTCATTTTCATAGTTCAGTGGTCAAAGTTAAGTTTTTGAATTTTGGTCTTTTTATCTAATACTATATGCAATAAGTCAATTATATTTGGTGTATGGAAATATTTTATGATCTATATGTCAGTCGCTCAGATTTAATTTGACCTTGACCTCATTTTCACGGTTCATTGCTCAGTGTTAAGTTTTTTGTGTTTTGGTCTGTTTTTCTTAAACTATAAGCAATATATCTGTTGTATGGAAGAATTGTTAGCTGTACATGTCTGCCTGGCATGGTTCATCTGACCTTGACCTCATTTTCATGGTTCATTGGTCAATTTTTATTTTTCTGGGTTAATGTTAAGTTTATGTGACAGTTGTAATAAAGCTTTATATTTAGGACTATCAACATAATATCAATGATTAGTAAAGAAGGCGAGACATTTCAGCGTGTGCACTCTTGTTTTAATAGGTTGTTAGTGGCTTTTAACTCCCTGTCAGTAACTGCGAGTACTCTAAGATCTGTACTTAGTTTCCTTATGTTGTTGGAATATACAAGTACGGCCACTTCCACCCTGTGTTTTTGTTAGATGTATTTTTATTTGTATCCATCTGATGAGCTAAACCTTTTTCAACTGATTTCATAGTTCGTTCTTATGTTGTACTGCTACACCACTGTTCCAGGTTAGGGGAGGGTTGGGATCTCGTTAACATGTTTAACCCAGCCACATTCTGTATGTATGTGCCTGTCCAAAGTCAGGAGCCTGTAATTCAGTGGTTGTCGCTTGTTGGTGTGTTACATGTATGTTTTTCGTTCATTTTTTTTTTGTACATAAATTAGGCCTTTAGTTTTCTCGTTTGAATTGTTTTAACATTTGTCATTTCGGGACCTTTCATAGCTGACTATGCGGTATGGGCTTTGCTCATTGTTAAAGGCCGTACGGTGACCTACATGTAAAGCTGTTAATTTCTGTGTCATCTCTTGTGGAGAGTTGTCTCATTGGCAATCATACCACATCTTCTTTTTATACGCCCGTCAAAATTTTGACGGGACGTATTATGGTATACAAATGTCCGGCGTCCGTCTGTCCATCTTCCGGCGTAAGTTTTCGTTCTTTCTTGCTGTGTGGAAAAAAAATCTCAAACAAGAAAAATTGTTCCAAAGTTTTTATAATCTATTGTTCATGAACAATGTAAAATGCTTTTTTTAAAGGCGATTTATTTATCAAAGACAAACTATGAATCGTATAAATGAGCTTTGATTTAGGGACGACATCAAAAGATCAATGTAAGATAAAAAAAAACTTAATTCAAATATCTGGGGGTGGGGTAAAAAGTGCTGCAAGTTTTGTTTATTTGACATCGATTTTACATATATCTGTATTGGTCAATCAACTTGATTTTCCCCAAATTAAGTTAAGAGGGGGTTGGGGTCAGTGAAAAAAACTATGTGAATTAAGTTTGTTTATCCTACATTGAGCTTTTGGTGTCGTCCTTTATTTTCCTGTGAATTTTTATCCATGACTTAATTCAGGCAAATTTTTTGCCTTTCTTGCACTGTTGAAAATAAGGACAGAGGGACATCAGATATAAATACTGTTAGTATTAAATCGCACTGATAGCAGTTACAAAATTTTAGATAAGTGAAAATAATTTGAAAAATGAAAGAAAACTTTCAAATAAGTATTACTCCTAAACACACATAAAAAGGGAGACCCACTATAAAAGCGCTTGCGACCTAACTCACTTCATGATGATGTCTTTAGTTGTTGCAATTGATAAATCTTCACTTATCAATCAGAGAGAGAGAGCTCTACTTATCAATATCAATTAAAATATATTTTAACTGTTGAATGACTTATTCTTCAATTATTTAGTCCTAGAATTTATATCTTTAATTTTCACCAATTGTCTAAATTTGATTTATTGAACCTTTTTGTCTGCTTACGCCTTACCTAACTAAAGATGATTGAGATATGTTTAGTCGTTTTTATATAAAACATTTAAAAAATTAAAAACATCTAGCTTGTAAGTTATTTCTTCAAAGACATATATAGCATCATTTTAAAGCAAACTTATTTGTCCAAGGCATAAATGAATGATTGTACTGAAATGAATGAATAGATATAGCCTATTGGTAGAAAGCTGGACAAACTTCTGTTTGCTGGTGTTTATATGTTTATAAAAACACAGCTGGTATTATGCCATATAATTTCATTACTAATAGTGATTAAAATGCGTAATATACGGTTCGGTACCAATTTCGTCGTCAGTGCTAATGAAAATATTAAATTTCTTGGTAACAAGGATGTCATATAACCTCCTAGATGGTATTTTTTAAGATATATGAACATCAAAACTCATGAGATACGTTTTATGAGTGTTTGTTAAAAAATGTCATTCAAGATCAATTAACACAAATTATGGATTTTTTCCCTATTTTTTCAAAATAATTTCCCCTTCGTACATTGATTTATAATCTCGACGCGGTTTTGATCTCAATATCCCTTTTAAAGACCACTAACTTAAGTATCGTAATTTATAACTCCCGTGAAGACGCGAATTAATTTTTGTCAGAGACATGTCTCTGTTGTATTTAACAAGATTAGTAAATGCAACGACGTCTATTGGAAGGAGTTATGAGTTATCGTTAATTATCTACTGTCCAATTTAAACAGATTGGGTTATCTCGCTTGGAAATGTGACATATTCTTGCACATGTGACACAATTTCTACACAAAATTCTCATGCCTCTACTAACACATTTTAAGGACATTGTCAGTTATGTACCATGAAAGAACCGATATTTTTTATTTAGCATCGCCACAAAGCCCCATAGCTAGGGACCATTTATAAACTATGTAAAATATGTTTTATAAATATAATTATTTTATCTACCTTCTTTCCCTATCTTTTCTGTCTGGAAGAAGATAAGTATGTATTGTGTTGGCCTTATCAGAAAACAGCCGTTAAAATATAACAAAATTTTTACGAGCACTTTTTTTATTGTAAATTCGACTGAAATAATCATACTTATGCTGATTATTTTGTTGGGAAAATGGTAATTGAATAGGACTCCGGTCCGTATGGTTTTTGTGACGTTATTGCGAGGTTCACGTCATAATATTTGAATGGCCGCCTAACAACAACGTCAACAAGAAGGCATCTTCGGGGGAGAGGGCCGGGCGTTACACATCATGGGGATTCTAGAAAACAGTATGTATTTTGTATCAAAGAATATAAGTATAATAGCATGTGACATAGAAAAATGTATACGAACCCAAAGCGAGTCTAATTTTTGTGTGATGTCCTACTTGCTGAATTTGGGTGTAAACTTAATCTTTTTTGTAAAAATGTCTTATACAACTCATTCATAATCTTGTTTTTACCTTTTCCAATATCTTTATAAAATCGTTTAAATATCTTTTATTTAATTTTTCATTATCTTGGTGAGCAAAGCTTTTTTCATCTCAGATCAAGTTAGTTCGTCATATAATACTGATGCTTTTCAATTGTTGAAGACCTTATGGCAACGTCTATATTTAAAAAATCTTTTTTATAGATATGAGTGCATTTGTATGTGAGTTACTGTCCCACTGTCATGTACGCTTACTTAGTCTATTAGTTTATTTAAGGGGTTCCAACCGCTATCTAGAGGTATACTAAGCAAACCCTTACTCTAACACATACCTGGCAATAAAACTATCCCTATCCCTAAAACCTAACTATAACCTAGAACTTAGCCTAACATAACCCTTACCATAAATGAACCCTTACCCTAAGATACACTGAGGGACTCCTAAGATAAAAGAAGGTTCTACCCATGACCTCTGAACCTTTCTTGAAGATATCATTAACTCTTATGTCCCTACCTTTCACATTAAGCAACAATTATGGTGCAATACCATGTTTATACAATAGCATGAACTTTGTCCAAATAATCATAAGGTTGATTAGGGTCACTCAAGGACTACACTATAAGGCCGTGAAAATGTAAATGATCTTTTGTTCCGACGTTGGAAAATTCCGGGCGGAAAGAACTAACTAGCCGAAAAGTTCCGGAGGAACTTATTAACTAGTTACTTTGTTCTTCCTCTGGTTTAAAAGTTCCACCGGAACAAAGTGACTAGTTGAAAAGTTCCAACGGAACATATCAACTAGTTAGAAAGTTCCTTTTTGCCAAATTAGTCAAAACCGGAACTAACAAACTAGCCCAAAAGTTCCAACGGAACTTATCAACCAGGCAGAAAGTTCCATTTGGAGAATTGATGCAAAGTAAAAGCGCAACATATTATATTTGAACCTTTCAAAGAGAAACCAAGATACTGATTACAAAAGTCAAAAGGAACTTATCAACAAGCCACAAAGTTCCTCTTTGGCAAATAAGTCAAAACCGGAACTAACAAACTAGCCCAAAAGTTCCAACGGAACTTATCAACCTGTCACAAAGTTCCATTTGGAGAATTGATGCAAAGAACCACATGAGGAGGGGGGTATTCTTCCCTCTCTTGATGATACTATGAATACTAAATTTGCATGATAATGCAACTCATTCCGTTTTATGTGAGCTATGAAATACAACTTAAATTTTGCATATTTGTCCCCAAAGAAACCCCTTTCAGTGCGTTTGGTATTCTTGTAAATGAATGATTTGCTCTTATATATACTGATACTCATTCTTCACCCTCTTTCTACAAAAAGGACAAAATATGGTATATTCGGAACGATATAACTAGTTGTTCTGTTCCACCAGAACTATTCAACTAGCTACATTGTTAGCTACATTGTTCCGGGACTTTTCAACTAGCTACTTTTTTCCGGAACTTTTCGACTGCACTCGGAATAAAACAACTAGTTGGAAAGTTCCATCGGAACGAAATAACTAGTTGAAAAGTTCCGCCGGAACAAAGTAACTGACGGAACATAGTGGCTGTTACAAAAACAACATGCCTTTCAATAAAAGGCCCATCATGAAGTATAAGGGGATTGGCTAAGAAAAGGTAATCAATTACGGTTTCCTTTTTAGACGATATATCGGAAGACGATTTTGTGGTCCTACTAGAAGACCGATCATTTGTGGATTACTTCAACATATATCTAAGTCTACCGGTAAGTATTTCATGCAATGAAAAGAAATTCACAAATAAATTATAGTAATAGGATATGATGCACACAATCATGACAAAAATCTCTACAAGCACTCTACATGTGACTGTTGAAGGCATTCTGATACAAAATTGCAAAGTTTACATTTTTTCGTCGAATTTTGAATCGACGAACATCGCTAACCAAAATGAATTAATTTGTACCCGAAAGACAATTCTGAATTTACTTCCAACATAAATGTTTTACTACGGTTAACGGTACTCTTCTAAAACATTTGTGGGATAAAAAATTTGCGTTAATCTGTCAAAATTGCGGTTTTGGTCTATCTTCATGTGTTTATTATTTGGTTATCAGTTTAGAAACAAGTCAGCCGACTGTTAGAACTGTAAAACATAAATTGGACTGTGATAGTATGAATTTATAAATAAAGATTAAAAAAAGTTTTGAAAAAGACCCTGTTGTGAAATATAGCAGGGGAAATTGGCCCTGCCTTATTTAAATTACTCTTCGAATTAGGTGTATGAATAATACACTTTAGAGAAATGATGCAAAGATACCAGAACACACCAAACTAGGACTGTCAAACAATAATCGATAAAACTAGACAACACAAAGATCAACTGTAGTTATACATTAAACATACAATGACAACTATAAATCACATACATGTACCGGAAACGATGTATATATCTATCATATATTATAAGTACAAGAAAACTAAGGAAAGAACAATATAGATGGTGATGGCAAAACGCCTCAAATATACACGCAACTAAAAGCATATATAGAATAAACCATTTCGATGTTCAAATTTATAAAAAAAATGTCCATTTTGGTTTTGTTGGTATGATGCCATATCACAGGCGATTACCACTTCTTTATATTTATCACTGACAGAACTTAAAAGACCAAACAGCTGTTCGTTTCTACCGGTGATAAAAAAAAAAAAATTAGTAAAGCATTTCATGATTTTGGGAACACAATATGATAAAAAAAAAATAGGGGAATTGACTTAGTTTTGACAGTAAAACAACCTCAGTTTTTGAATTTATTCCCAGTATGAATATTAGTTGGTTGTTATTTCAAAATTCAAATGTTCCATTAATATCGAACCCAGAACCATAATTTATATTTCACGTTAAAGAGTACATTTGTGCCTTATCGATTAAAGGCTCTATAAAAGCATTACATGTTCTAAAGTGTTTTCATCTTTGAAAATAATCATTTATTACATTCCCGCCAAAAAATAATATGAAAAAGTAAAATATATTCAAGTATTAAAAAGATATCTACTGGTGATTTCTTTAAAGAAACTAGAAGAGGGACAGGGGATATATAACTTTGGGTACTATATCAAATAAGACCAAAAGGTATATGCCAACGGGCCTCTCATAAAGTTGTAATTATTTTTGTGTTTTGTTTCATTTTTTTAAGATAAGAGAGTTATAACTTATATTACTTCTAAACACTCAATCTGACGTCATGGTCAAGTTTCGCGCAAATTTCACAAACCTCGAAATATGACGTTTGACACAAAAATCAAATTAGCTATATTCTGTTGCAGATATTTGGACAACACGTGGTCTACAGTTTCATTGAAAGAGAGTTCTCTTATGAACCACCAATCAGGAAGAAGAAAAGTGTAAGTACATGGATAGAACTAAAAAGCCATATTATTTTCAAAAATATAAGAGCATGCGATACAGAAAAAATCTTACATTAATAACTCTTCCTTTGAAATTGTGACAGAATGTTAATGTTGATATTTACGATCGAAGTACAGAGGCGGATATAGGAGGGACAGGGGCCCGGGCCCGGGCCCCCTTATGGAGCTTATGATAAATGCATAAACTTTTACAAGTATCACTCCAAACTTTGGCGTGCAAGCGCCCCTTTTTTTAAAATCCTGGATCCGCACCTGAAATACGCAAAGAAAAATATACCTTCATGAACTACTTTTCGAGATATTTCAATTTGATTTATGCATATTTCAGGTAAAAGCACAAAATTTCAAATTTCAATTATTTCCCCAAAAAACATCAGAACTTTCAAACGGATAAATATATACGTTCGACGTTCATTTTTGCAGACTGTTCTTTAATTGAATGTATAAGTTGATCATAACATAAAGATTGGATGGTGTCGAGGGTCATTTTGTATCAAACTACTAATTATAATGAAACTGAAACCCAAATAAAAATATCCTAAATAAAAAAAAAAAAAATAAATAATTTTGAAAAATTAAAAACTACCGTTTTCTCTAAAAATCACAAAAACAAAGCACAAATACAAAAACTGGCGAAAAATTTTTTTCTGCAAAGCACTCCATACCTTTTTGGAATGATTAAACTTGTGTCAGCATAAACTTATCATTGAACTTTTAAAAAGATCAAATACGAGAAAAGTAAAAGATTTTGATCGGGCTAACTGATCATTAAATTTCTATTCCGTGTACTTACAGCTTGTGGACCGCAGAGAAGTAGTACATTGGTTATACACAAAGAGATACCCAAGCTTTTCCAAATCGAATCTGTGTACAGAGTACATACTAAGCAGTAGACTTCGTGATTTAAACGTAAATCTACTCGGTAAAAGTAAGTACATGTATCTTTTAATCCAATGATTGATTGGTAGGGATGTACATACTATTTCTGATTGATAGTTTTATTTCATTTATTTATGTTTGCCATCCAATGCCGAACTCAGTTTCAAATATTTATATCATCCGAGTTAGCACCGCTTAAGTAGGAATCCATATAACAATCCCTCCTGGAAAACTAAGATGACAGGATTGGCGGTCGATTTTTATAGTTTCAATTGTAATTACAGTACATTTTTTTCCAGATGTTGACGAATCTGATGATCAGGCTACACTTACAAGAAACATTCTTGGAAATGCAGTCGGTATGCAGTTATTTCGAGAATCCCTAATCGGCACTCCGGGTGAAAAATGCTATAAATGCTGGCTTGACCTCGAAAGACATCGGCGCATGCCTCCCGGGGAGCAACGCCAGAGACTGATGCTGTACATAAGGAATATTTACTTGGCAGATGGCGCTCTACATGAACTTCAGACTGCTGGAAGACACGCTGTTTTTGAAGGTTATATTTAATTTTTCATATGAAGTTTCTTTTTGGTCACATAATTGACATATAATTAAAGACGTATCATATGATAGATGATGTTCAGAAGCATATACCAAACTCCTCAGTAAATTGAAGGGTAACCAAAAGTACGCATAACAATCAATAAAGGATCAATATAAAGGCTACGTAAACAAAGTGAAAGGAATGGCTTAACCTCCAAAGAACATGAGTTAACTTTTGTTTTCAGTCCGTATCCTTGTATAACTAGTATACTTTCTCTTTTGCGGATATGTAGTTTTCATCATTCGTTCTAGATTTAAAAGTTCCTACTTACTTGATATATATATATATATATTAACACCTCCCAATTAATTACGATATTTATCAATTAGAAATAGTTCATTTACAAATTTAGAATCTGTTTCTTTAAAATGATTTAATGGAAACTGTATACTGGTTCTATCCCTAGCACCATACGGCCCGGTATCTGAGTAACCCTTAGATACAGTGTACACTGGTTCTATCCCTAGTACCATACGGCCCGGTACCTGAGTAACCCTGAGATACAGTGTACACTGGTTCTATCCCTAGTACCATACGGCCCGATAACTGAGTTACCCTGAGATTCAGTGTACACTGGTTCTATCCCTAGTACCATACGGCCCGGTATCTGAGTAACCCTGAGGTACAGTGTATACTGGTTCTACCCCAAGTACCATGCGGCCCGGTATCTGAGTAACCCTGAGATACAGTGTACACTGGTTCTATCCCTAGTACCATACGGCCCGGTATCTGAGTAACCCTGAGATACACACCAAATTAGAAAGATGAAATAATAACACACTCATGTTATTATTTTGACATGGGAATTTTGAATATAATCAAAATTAAATGTCTGTCAGAGAACGTCTGTTGAATTCAGTTGACTTTGAACTGTTATTTGAGCATAGTTGTTTGCTGTCAAGTAAAGTTGCTGAGTGAAACCATGGAAACATTAAATATTACTTCCATGGTGAAACTAATATTACATTACAACATTTTGCAGTTACCATGTTATATATTGTGTAGGTAATTTTTTTTAACGTATCATTTGCATTAAAAATCTCTTTTTTTACAGGAAAACTAAATTTTGAACTTATCCCAGAAACAGAAATACAAAGACAGCTTATTAAAGATTTTGGAAGCGGAAATATTATCTACCGTAAAAATTCAGACGATGCCTTCCAACAGCTCGAACGTTTGATAGTAGCAGCATTGAGAATGTATTGGGTTCCAAGATACTTATTAAATCTTCTCAAAACTATACCAAAGCAATATCTGGCCGTTCTGAAGCGAGCAACTCCTTATGATCAACGTGCACTACAGGAACATCGACAGATGACTTGTCGGTTAGTGTTTCCAAAAATATATGACGCTGACTCCTCACCGACGAAATTAATCGAGTCTAACATCGACGGTGAAATGAAGAACATACGAATAAAACCTCTTTCAGCAAGGTCCGACAAACCTAGGACACAATATACTGGTTCCAGTCTTTCAGACAAGGTGACCTTGACATCTTCTTTAGAATCCTGTAGTATACCGGATGGAGAGCACGAAGAAGATATTAAAATTAGCGATTTTCTTTCAATAGCTGGAGGTAATATGATTACTTTGACATGGAAAAGTTTTCTTTAGAGTTCCTTTTGATCAAGTTCATTAAATCATATAATTGTGTCTAAACTAGACTGTAAATTCCTTAGACAAAGTTTACCTTAGACGGTTTTGGCACCTTTTGTTTTTAATACCCTTCAACGCTTTAGGTTTTTTGCTTTCCAATCTTTTGATCACGTGTCTACTAGATGAGGGCATTCCAGAAACACGTAATAAGCACACTGAAATCATATCATTTGTTCTTTACTACCAGTACTTGTGCATACACTTTTTAGGTCGCAATATAAAAAGAAGGAGATGAGGTATGATTGCCAATAAGACAACTATCCACCAAAGTTCAGCTAAAGTGGATGTAAGCAACTCAAGTTGTTTTGACAAGGTTGGCCGTAGACGGGTTTTAATGTTTTATTTAGGAACCTTGGGATTTTTACTCTCAAATAAAAGTTGGATATGTTTTTATTTGATCACAAGCGTTCACATGGAAATCATATCATTTGATTAAAATGTTTTTCTCTCCTTTTTTTTACCTTGAAGTCGAGTTGCATAATAGGTTTAAAATAATAACGACTAAAGAGAAAAAGACGTACAGACGTTTAGGTCGATTTATTTAACCTAGCATTCTCATTAAATACATTATTTCAAAACCGTAGATAAACGAACTTTTCCAGTTAATGCGTATATATAAAGAGGAGAAATTTATCATATCAAATTTAAAATACATTAGCACGAATGTAACTAAATTTTAACGAAAAATTAAAAACATATATTTAAGGTAGGCGTTCCACAAATTTTACAGCAAATTACTTTGCAACATAATTATTTTTATTTACCTGTCTACGTTATTTCATTTGGTGGAATTTTGTCCAAGGTTATGGTTGTCTTTCTGATATTGTTTTACATCAAACCCCTTGTTTTATTAATGTTCCAATAATCAAAATGGCTTCATCATGAGGCAACACACTTTTGCTGTTGTTTTTTTGCTTTGTCTTTTTTTGATATTGTCTTAAATTGAATTGTATTAAAACTAATCCGAGAACAAATTTAATTTGCAACGCTATTTCTATTTCAACTAGTCTTCATTTTTATTGTTTTGTGTATTTGCCAGTCAATAAGAAATTTCAACCGTAACAACGTTTTAATCAAACAATACCCTCAGCATTAATTTGTCAGTCAGTATCCACCGACAAAGCCATATACATTCAGTCTCTTCTGAGTTAATATTCAATTTATTGATTGTTGGTTGTATAAGTCCAGTGGCAAATATTTCGTGCATGTTCAAGGATGATGTTGATATTCGACGAAAGGCCGCTACTAGTATCGACAGTAATGATATTAACCAGGATTACAAGAGGATTCTGTACTTAATGAAGATCACTTTGATAATCCCTTCTTGTAAAATAAGAAAGCTATTGACAGCATAAAGAGTTTGGTAGATTCTTCAATCCCTTTTAAGCTCCGGTTGTGTAACGCTTGTTTTATGTGTTCTACATTGACTGCACTCTGACTGACGTCTCACGGCCCCAACCAGTACTCAAACAGAACGCCAAACGGTGTAACCACTATGTGTGTAGTACTACGTTAGTCTTTTGAATTACATTGTACATGAGGAAATTTCGACTTTCTGTTGGGTTCGTGTTGATCATCCATTGTTTTCTTTGAAGATTTTTGTTTTTTCGTTTTTTTTTTCTTTTGGTCATGGTGTTGTCTGTACTTCATCGAGTTCGGTATGAAGATATTAGAAGATTCGATATTCACGCCATCTTGAAACAGTTACATTAATAAAGGTTGCCTTATGATGTGACCAAGTTTCTATTGACTTTAAAGAGATATATTGGAAACATGTCTCGGACAGGAGAAGATACTAAAGACGAAAGATAAGAAAAAAAAAATACAATATGGGTATTTAAGACCCGATCAACAATAAGTGCCTCATGTTGACGTAATTTATGATACTGCGCACTCCCAGTCCGTACCTTTTTAGAAAGGTTAAACTTGGTATCTTATATTTAATAACAATTCTATGACTTACAAAAAATACAAAGTTTAATTCTTCAAATGGGATAGTAACGTTAATTTTCTGTTTTATAGGCGGAAGACTAGAATACGTCGAGCCGAAAGAATCAAAATCAAGTATTTCGTCACAAGAATTTGAATCTTTCGATTTCGGTAATGCTGAACCACGGACATGTTCTTCTGAAACTGCAGTAACGACGACCTCTTCATTTACTCAAATTCGTCCAACCCTTAGTATACCGCCATCCTTAGCTACATACATCAGTGGTAAGAATCGTATCAAGACAGGCAGAAAAACTAACAATAAGGTGATGTTTGCTCTCGCAGCGGACAATTTAGCAGGAAACCCATTACAGTCATACTTGAACCGTTCAGGAAAGACGAGAGACGAAAAATTGCTCAAATTGTGGATAGATGTTCGACAGTATTTAGATGCGGATGACTCACACCGAGACGAGTTTGGTCATTCTATAAAACAACATTTGGCGCGGGTCATCTTCAACCAATATCTTGTATCCAACAATGACGATCTATTGCCTGAAAGCGTGAAAATGTCGATATATACCAGTTTATCGCGACAAGATGATGCAACTTTATTATGTTTTGTCCAGGACTTTGTCACAGGGGTAAATACTCAAGAATTAAATGCGTCTGTTTGTTTATTTTCTTTAAATTTTATAAGCATATAAAAGTGTTCACCGTTCTTACGATTTGTGTTTGACAAGGACAAGTTTCGCATTTTAAACAAAACATGTTTCGGTTAACGCTTTTATACGCATCAAAACTAAAAAAATATGCATTCATCTCTTATAATAACATATCTATATTAAGAATCCGTGTGCTGGTTAACTGTATATTAATGTGTGTTGTTATAACGTGTTGTGTTTCAGAACAGACATCGGGGTATCTGTGGATATCATTGGGTTATACAACTTTAACTTATAAAACCATCGAGCAATCAGAATGTCAAGATTCAAATGAAATCTTATAGGTCTAATATAGATATTTGTTTTTAATATCTATCTTAGACCTTTACAATTTCATTTGAATCTTACATTCTGATTGCTCGATGGTATTATGAGTTAAAATTTTATTTGTAGTTAAAATGTGTATATAAGTATAAAATTGTATTGAAATTTCTTAAATTTTCGGTTAAATTCGAAGTTTATTTTATATATGCATGCAACTTTGCTGTGTATATAAATCTGAACTCTTTTGATACTGACAATGAATCCATACAACTGTATGGCATGAAGTTATGGAATACATTTTATACGGTACTGAATATGGAGTTACCACCGTCAGTTTATAATCAATGAATTTATTTCCTGCTCTTTTGAAAAGATGTTGGATATATATGTCTATGTAAAAAAAAAACCAAGATTTTATTTCAATTTAATCTTCGCAATCTTTTTATATAACCTCCTAAAATATATTCTTTTTATCACATATCATTTATTTTTTTACGTCATACTTAATTGTGTCATTTCTATTTTAAGTTATGGTTTTATTTAATTAATGAAAAAATTGTGAAAAATTCGGATAATTTTAAACATTTTTGACATTTTACTACGTTTTACAATTTGTATTTGTTGAATAGATATATATTTGTATATATAGTGTCTCATAAGCCTATCTAGGCTGGGTATTTGTCTTATTTTATTGTTGTGCAATGTATTTTATATAATCTGTATAAAAATCTGTAGACAAATATGTGACACTTTAATAAAATAAATTATTATTATTATTATTATTATTATTATCTAAGAAACAGTAATCCAGCAACTCAAAATACCAAATTACATTAAAATTAAATTAGATGTGAATCAAAATGAATTGGTGAACTAAAAAATGGAATATCGAAAATCAAACCAATATCGATCTAAATATCAAACTGTTTCTTTTGAACGTCAAAACTGTTTCTTTTGGACGTCAAAAATAGAATATCGAAAATATGATATACATATATGTCGAATGTTAAAAATCTACACATATATCCAAATAAATATCCATACGAATATCCAAATAGACGTCTTAATGAAAACCGAAATACCAATGGGTCAATGCAGAAATTTCAGCTCACGTAAATGTAAATGCAGTTTCACAATTTCAGCGTCCTCCTCAATAGCGTCTGATAAATGGAATAAACGAGAACGCCCCAAAACAATCGCCTCTCATTATGCCACCTGATTGAAATTGGTCCATTTTGTCCGAATGAATATCTTGTAAAATATAAAAGTGAATATAGAACTGTAACAAATTCAAAATACGTATTTCGAAAATATGCAATAAAGTTGAAAGTCTGAATGAATGTTTATAAAGGTCTCTTTTGAATAACTTACCATTTTTTCCAGGATGAGAAATGGGGGAGGGGCTTAAAGCTCAATAATGACGAACAGTAATTAATATAAGCGCTTTTCCATTGCTTTATATGTTCGTGTAGTGATTTTGTATCATACACTGATAAACTATATCGTTTCTTTTCCATAATGTTGATGCCATTGAAGAGGAAGTTAATTCAAAGGGCAACAAGCGTATGAAGAAAATGTAAAAAAAAAAAACAGTTATCAAAATTTTTAGTTCAAATTTATTTTTAAAAAGAGGCGTTAGCTGAGCGCCTCCTTGTTGCTTTTTCTCAGCCCTTTTCAATTTTGTTTCATTCGATGTTCGTAGTGTTAAACTCGGCCCCTAGAGTCCATGTCCCATTGAATAGTTTGCATTTGAATTTACAATACTTCTGAGCCCTATATTTAAGTAAAAGGTCTGGTTTTTCAATATTATCCTTCCTTTCCATTGCGTGTAGGTTATAATGTGTTGTATAAATCATCTTAACCCCCAGGCTGATGATCATTGCAATTGTAAATAAGTACGGATCAATGAGAAAACCTAAATACAGGATATATGATAGTTTTCACTTATTACACTAACGGTGGGAAAACCTAAATACAGGATAATATGATAGTTTTCACTTATTACACTAACGGTGGGAAAACCTAAATACAGGATAATATGATAGTTTTCACTTATTACACTAACGGTGGGAAAACCTAAATACAGGATAATATGATAGTTTTCACTTATGACACTAACGGTGGGAAAACCTAAATACAGGATAATATGATAGTTTTCACTTATTACACTAACGGTGGGAAAACCTAAATACAGGATAATATGATAGTTTTCACTTATTACACTAACGGTGGGAAAACCTAAATACAGGATAATATGATAGTTTTCACTTATGACACTAACGGTGGGAAAACCTAAATACAGGATAATATGATAGTTTTCACTTATTACACTAACGGATGACACTATCTAACCTTTACAATATTTTATACATATTACACATTGCTGATTCATCGAGTGATCTCAATAGTTCTAAATCTAAATTGAATTGAAGATTTTCAATTTGTATGAATTATATTCCTTATATTACAGAGTTTAAAGGACACATGGAAAATCTTCATGCTAGCAGAAAGGAAAGCTTTCAGGAAACAAGTGGTAAGTACATGTATTGGTACCGATTGAAGTGCCCCGGAGGTGAGTGTGTGTAGTTATGTCTCGGGAAGTTATTACATACATCAATATAATTTGTTGTGTTGTAGTAGCAGGTTTAAGTTACATGACCTTTATTACAGGGTTCAGTGATCCGATTAAGTATTTAAACAATATGTATCACAAATGAATACAGTGACTTACAATCAAATTAGTAGGTGTAAAGATGTCTCTAAATGAATATGACATTTTCCAACAAACGATGGCCACACTTATCAATTTTACTCTTTGTTTTGATTTAAGGCACACGCATCCAATAATCGTTTTTCTTCAATTTAGTGACATGACAGATAGATTCTTTTACATGGCATCAAAAAATTGTGCAGATGAAAATCATTTTGACTGAGGCTTTACGCTTTTTTTTTTAGAGAAAAATAAAATAATTTTACATAATCAGTAATACACCCATCTTGGGTGCATTTACCTATGCGAGTTGGAACTTAATTTAAGTATAAAAAGACTTATCCTTATAATAAAGGGTACAATACATTAGCCTGTCCAATATAGATGTTCTTCCATTGTTGGAGTGTGCACAAACTAAGGTTACTTTTTCTAAATATGTCTATTCACATTTATATAATTGTTTCTGGTAAAACTTTGCTTTCATACAACTTCATAACCTTTCAAGCACAAATCAAATCCTGAGAAACTATCATGTTTTAAGATTTTACTTCATGTACAGAGAGGCGAAAGATACCAAAGCGACATTCAAACTCATAAATCGAAAATAAACCGACAACGCTATGGCTAAAAAAGAAAAAGACAAACAACAGTACACAAAACACAACATAGAAAACTAAAGACTGAGCAACACGGACCCCACCAAAAACTGGGGGTGGTCACAGGTGCTGCGGAAGTTATCAAACATTGATCATCTAACATTTTGACGCATCCATCTTACTATTAGGTTGGTAGTCGCCATTTTGACAGAAACGTATTAGAATACCCTCCAAATATGGACAAAGACCTGGATGATCCATTACTTCTTATCAATACATCGCAAGGTATCAGTCCAGAGATGCTGTCAAAAGATTACCGTCCTAAGAGTGGGTCAATGTCAGAGGAAAGACCATGGAGCCGACTGTCCGACAACTTACCAGTGGCGTTAACGGATGAACAGATTATGAAAGCCTTTGAATTCACCGTTATATTGGCAGAGTACGGTAAGATATAAAAAAGCGGAGAAGAAACTAAGGGGGCAATCACAATTTATTTTGACGATAGATATTGATTGTGACTACCTACCACAAGTGGAACATATTCGGGGTCATCAATGATACAGATATTCTTAAACGGTCAACATAATCATGATGCCATCCGTAAACTTTTGAAAGGATGACTTCAACTTTACCATAATGAACCTTTATTTCAATAACTTCTTTTTTAAGCGGCAACTCTATATCTCGGAAATGATGTAAGACATCAAGTTGTTATATCGTAACAACTGGAAGCTATATACTTCATATGCAGGCGCTGCTTGAATGCTGCTACACTAAAACAAAATATTTACAATGGGAAAATAAATAAAGTGAACCGAATAACCCCATCTTTTGGATTTGAAAAAAATACTGAGAGTGTCGCATTTCTTTGGTCTAGGCCACTTTATATGGATAAAACAAAATTATAATCAGGTCATATTTGATTTTTGAACATTGGTTTTGCACACCGCCGACAAATGAATTTGATGGCTGCGTCATTTGAAAAAGCGTAGAACGTCTTCATGAGACTTAAATGTTAAAGAATTAACATTACTTGAATTAAATGCGTAAAACGTTTTATAATGCAAAAGACCAGCGATGTCAACAAAAAATTGATTAAGTTGAAAGTTTGTAGTTTAAAGGACAAGAATATAGACACATTGAGTGCGTAGATTAAATGTTCCCAACGATAAGAAACAAAATATATCTCTACTAATTGTTATATAAACTGTATATGCATATATTACACCAGATCAAAAACAGAATATCTGTAACTGCATTCTGATACAAAATAGTCCGATGCCATAAAATGCAATGTTTGACATTGTTAGGTCGGAATTGGCGTTACAGTTGGATTTTATTTTTTTCAGGGAGACCCGGAATGTTTACTTACAAAAAACCTACGATAGCTGATATTATAGATGTGCTCTACAGTGATTTCGGCAGTTTACATATCAACAAAGTACATCCTAAAAGACATCGTAAGCTGTTTAATGTATTGAATTAGTCAAAAATTTATGTGAACTTCTCTCTGTTTTCATATCGATACTAGCAAAACAAATACTTGCTATGCGATAAGGGTTTCGTGGCTCGTTGTTGAAGGCCATGCGGTGAACTATATGTGCTAACTTCTGCGTCATTTGGTCTTTGGTGAAAATAAACTCATCAAAGATATCAGGATTAAAATGTTGTTCGAGCAGACGCGTGTTTCGTCTACAAAAGACTAATCAATGACGCTCAAATGAAAAAAAAATTAAATGGCCAAAATAAAGTTCGAAGTTGAACGGCATTGTGGACCCAAACTTCCGTGAGAGTTTGCCAAATAAAGCAAAACTAATCTATTTCTTGGGTAGAAAATCCTTAGAAAACATCAAAGTTTGTGAACAGTTAATTTATAATTATGACCATATCAATGATAAGTTGTCAGTTGTCAATCATACCACACCTTCTTATTTATATATTGATCATCCATTTTAAACATGTTTCCTTCTTTTTGATGCATAATATACTAAAAAATAAAAGGTAAAAACGAATTGTGGATGTTTTAATATTTTTATACGTCTTTTTCAATTAGCATTCCTTTACAATCTTATGAACAAGCCAAAGATAGATATAGAGAACCTAAAGGTGTCACGAGAGGTATTCTTAGACAGACCAACGATAATAGAGGCTGATGACACACCACGTAATAATAGACTCGTTCTTAGAAGAGACGGTCTTTTGATTGAAAGGCCACCCCGTCCAAGGTATTACAAAACTAGAGTTATTATAATAAAAAATACTACATCTAAGATCCATTTTCTTTTGTGCTGTTCGTGTGATGAATAGCACATACAAAAGTTATTTATATTAAATACGCTAAAGTTAATAAATTAATATGTTAATCACTAATGAATACGTCACATAGGTTTTTGCCATACTATGTAGTTTGCATCAGGTTGATTGTCCAATAAAAATTAAAAAATGTTTTGTTTCCGTATAAGATACCAGTTAGTTCACAAGTGAAGATTACCTTTTGCCTTTTTTTCAATGGACCAGAAATGCTTGTTTTAAATTATAAAATACAAAACATGTCATCATACATTGATAATTATTTGAAAACACTTCTTTAAAAAAAATCGTCAACCGTGTTAGGAAGACATTCATCGGTTTGGTTAACAGCAACATCAGCTCTCCATTTGTATTAATAATTTTTATAAAATAAAATATACGCAACAGTAATTAACCGATGTTTAAATCTCATTAAATAAATCGTGAAAACAAACATGAACTGAAGAAATCGCATGAACTCAAAGAGGAGCGAGACTGGGCCTAACGCATTTCGAGTACGATTATCTAGACGGATTCAGAAATCAACCATTCAAAATATTGGGTTTGGTTTTCGATCACAATTTTGTACTCCGGGTACTGAATAAAGTTGAATGACTGAAAAGCCTCATGTGTCTTCAGGGTAAGCGTCTTTTGCTATACATGCATCAACCAGAAATGCTTGTTTTAAATTATAAAATACAAAACATGTCATCATACATTGATAATTATTTGAAAACACTTCTTTAAAAAAAATCATCAACCGTGTTAGGAAGACATTCATCGGTTTGGTTAACAGCAACATCAGCTCTCCATTTGTATTAATAATTTTTATAAAATAAAATATACGCAACAGTAATTAACCGATGTTTAAATCTCATTAAATAAATCGTGAAAACAAACATGAACTGAAGAAATCGCATGAACTCAAAGAGGAGCGAGACTGGGCCTAACGCATTTCGAGTACGATTATCTAGACGGATTCAGAAATCAACCATTCAAAATATTGGGTTTGGTTTTCGATCACAATTTTGTACTCCGGGTACTGAATAAAGTTGAATGACTGAAAAGCCTCATGTGTCTTCAGGGTAAGCGTCTTTTGCTATACATGCATCAACCGCCATGTGACTCCACACTTGGTCAAAATGTCACAATCTGGAAAGGACACACTCGGTAAAATAATATAAGAGTCAATTGTCAAACTGCTATTACATGATGCTTAATCAGGTGATATAACTTATCAACAAAATATTTAGGAGTGACAAAACAGGTGCCTAATGTGGAGCATGATATCCTAACCATCCCGTAGCACCTGAGATCACTACATGTTGTTGTTGGTACTTTTTGTTGTATTTGTCTTGCTCAGTCTTCAGTTTTCTATAAAGTGTTTTGTAGACTTGTTGTATTTGTCTTGCTCAGTCTTCAGTTTTCTATAAAGTGTTTTGTAGACTTGTTGTATTTGTTTTGCTCAGTCGTCAGTTTTCTATAAAGTGTTTTGTAGACGTGTTGTATTTGTCTTTCTCAGTCTTCAGTTTTCTATAAAGTGTTTTGTAGACTTGTTGTATTTGTCTTGCTCAGTCTTCAGTTTTCTATAAAGTGTTTTGTAGACTTGTTGTATTTGTCTTGCTCAGTCTTCAGTTTTCTATAAAGTGTTTTGTAGACTTGTTGTATTTGTCTTGCTCAGTCTTCAGTTTTCTATAAAGTGTTTTGTAGACTTGTTGTATTTGTCTTGCTCATTCTTCAGTTTTCTATAAAGTGTTTTGTAGACTTGTTGTATTTGTCTTGCTCATTCTTCAGTTTTCTATAAAGTGTTTTGTAGACTTGGTTGTCTTTTCGTCGTTGATTTTCTTAATTCCCATGGCGTTATCAATATCTCTTCTACCTTACGTCTCCTTGGTATCTTCAATCTCATTTTTATCGATATATCCCAACATATTTGCAATCACTTATTTTGATAAAGAGACATATTCTATAAGAACAATTAAACTATGCATCAGAAAAAAACACTACCTTAATCACTGCACCAAACGGATTAAGGTATGATTCTTGAGCACATGCTTTTATCGATTTTTCAAACGCACGAAGTTTGTTTTGTCAGTATCATTTCGTTTTAATGAGAGACCCCTTTTCGCACAGCCAAGAATAAATAAAAATAAACCTATCTATTCTTGTAAACATATATTTGTTCCGCCTAACAGAAGTTCCACCGGAAACTTTGTTATAAACAATGCCATAATATCTCTTCCTGATGGAACAAGTATTCTATAATTTTTATTCCGTCAGGAACATATACTGTAATATTTGTTCCAGTGGAAATAATAACAAAATATTTCTTTCATTTGCAACTTATATTATGAAGGAACTTTGATTTCGTGACATTCTGACAGAGATCTTATGTCAAGCGTTGCGCAGATCTTTGCTGACGGACACTGCTGACAAAAGTAAACGTTATTCTAGCTTTATGGTGATGTGTTCTTAAAAAAATAGTTACATCGGTTGACGATTAATTTTTAATGGCTTACTATAGTGATGTGAATAAATGTAAAGACATTAAACTCTCGCCGTAAGTGAAAAGATAAGCTCGCAACTAAACTGATATCGCTTAATGTCAGTATTATCTCGGAAGAAATGCAAAATCATATCTAATCCACGAAATCATCAACCAAGTCGCTAGTTTTTCCATTTAACTAATATTCAATTGACGTCTATTGTAGAAATTTCATGGAAGTGCTGAATTCAGCCTTGCATTATGATTTCTTTAGAAGATTTATGGCAAGTAATAAAACGCCATATCCTCTTGCCTTTTGGAGAAATATTGAGGAACTTCGTCAAATGCCACCAGGGCGCCTGCGTCACAATATGATCAGTAACATTATCAGAAAGTATTTCGGCAAGAGTGCGAAGCAAGGTATGTTATATGTTTAAATGCACGGATCATACGACTTTCTCTATACTTATTTATCAAATCCCGTGTTGAACTTTTTATTTGTGCATTAACTAGTCTTTCGCTCCGTATACTCAAATATTTTTGTTCAGTGTCTTCAGTGTCATTGAGTTGACTTGATCTGACTGTCGTTAAATGATAGAATTTTGTCCATACTTAGCTCAAATTTAATCTGTATTGTGCTACTTTCAAACCATAATACAAAGTTTGGGTCACTTAGTCCGTTTTCAAGCTACATGGTGTGCAAAATGGACACATTTTAAGGATTATACAGACAAAGACATTATTGTGGAAATAAAAGGTAAACCAAATGATAGCATTTTTGAAATGAAAAGATAGCTCTACCAAAATCCTAAGTAAATAAAACGTAAAAATGATGTTAATGTACTTTTTCTTGCTATATAACATGCAAAATATAAAAGTTTACCGTACATTACTTTATAAAATTTTATGATTTGACTAACCTCCTCTTATTAAAAACATTTTCGACTTTTTTAATTAAAAAAAAATAATAATATGCGTTTGTAATTTCAGCTGTTATCATATTAAGATAAAATCAGGTAATGTTCTTCATTTCAATGAAAGGTCTAAAAATGAATTGCATTCCTGTATCAAAATTAACATATGTCATTAAAAAAAAAGTGCTTTATTTGCAATCCAAGATGTTGAAAGACCGCATACCACCTTAAATTGGTCAATGGTGTTTGAACAAAAAGCTTCTTTCTTAATACACCCTTCTCAAATTTGTCTAGAATTTCTGAGAATTTCATGTGTTTTGTCTTTAAAAAAAAAAGCTCAGTACACAAAACTACTCCCCTCTCAATATAAAACAAAATTTATGTCGTCATTGCGTGTTCCAGGAGATTATATTTTCACTACATTAAATGATAAAAATTGGATTCCTTATCGTCTTGAGTAACTATTGATATTTTATGGATGAGGTATTGGTATCTTTCAGAAGTAATCCAATCTAGCAATTTAAAACTATTAATTATTCATTCCATTGTGATTTCCTCAAGGTGCTTGGTTAGACTGTAGTGACGATATTATAAGACAGATTCCTTCCATGGAAAAGGTTCCTTTAAGTGTTTTAATATGTGCTCAGGCTAGTGTGTTCAGAGCCATGGAACAAAAATGGTAAGTTATTGTACAATTATAGACAATTGTCCGAACTAATTGAAACTATATTGTGTAAAGGACTTTTATCTTGTTACATATGCAGGTAATACATTCATTGTATATCGATATCAGTTGAGAGATTAAATAAAATATGATATAGGAGTACAGTTGCATCGCATTAATTAAATTCTGAATGGACCAGGTGGGGGCATAGTTCTTTCACGTCATGCCCTGATCTTGTTATACGTATCATTTTTGTCACTGTTTTACACCTTAACTCTCGGTTACAAATATAATGCATAAAAACAACCACAGAGCATGACTTGAAATAATAAGTCGATTCTTAGACAAAAAATATATCAATTTTATGGCAAAGTGAACCAATAAGTCACGTTCGAAAGACAGCCATCTTGATTGATGAAGCGAAATTCGTTTTTCAAGTCAAGTTTTTCACGACTTAAACCTTTAACCGCGACGTTTATGAAATGAATGTTGTATCGTACGCGGTTTTTATTTTACATCATGAAACAAGATTTTCCTGACATCAGATCTGACATTGTGACGTTTTACAATGATAAATAAAACGAGTGCTAAAACATATATGTATTTAAATAAAATTAAAGCAGTACAAATATGCAGCTGCTAAGAATGCATGACTTCCCTCTTTTCTATAACAGAGGAAACTGTACAAGGGACACACATGTCCCTAGCGTGATATGCAGAAAAGGGGCATAGAGTTAAAATGTAAAAATACATTTATCCTTTCTTTTATAAAGATTTTATTGAAATGTCATAGCAAGAAACTTCCACACAAGTGTCCATTTTCATTTCTAATTTTGTTTAGAATACATCTGATGTTGCATATTATAGTTTGACGTCAGATACTTGTACCCCGTGATTGGTTGGAATAAGAAAATTATTTACTAAGCAATAGAGGAGCATCGTGCCTGAAAATTGCTTTTAAAATAAAAAAGTCGATCAACTCCATGGCATAAATGTAGCGATGACAAGGTTGATATTTATTGGGACTTATGCCCTTAAACAGTTCATATATATTTGTCTTTATTACTTCTTGGTGAGGGTTATTCCAGAAACATATATTGTGCGCAGAGAAAAAGTATCATTTGTGTTTTTTGTATTCAACCTGAAATGAACAGGTCTTCTAACAACACTGTCGAATCAAACATTACAGTATAAACTGTAAGTTTAAATCGAGCAATTCATAGCGAGATGCAAAATCTTTTGGATGACACAACATGACAAGTCACAATACGAACATAAGAGGCATAAGTAAGATATTAGAGGATTTTCATTGAATGTTTACGATATTGTAGGTATCCTAAATATCTGGAAACTTTTCCACCCGATGCAGATTATGAACCAGAATTCCAGGTCCCTACTCTGAAAGAAGAACCTAAGCCAAGGGTCAGAAGAGTTAAGAAAAAACGAACGGTAAAACTCGTATTTATATATATGTGTGTAACATCTTTCATTTTTTCGGATGAGTCGGCTGAAGGTGGTTAATTTAGTCTGTTATACTGTCCAGAATTTAAGTGTTTATTTTGTCGCATTTGTGAATTATATTGTTGTGGTGTTCCTCACTCGTGAAATATTTGTCGATATTTGAATTTTTTTTTATATACTAAAATTAGACGTCAAAATTCAACAAATTCTTATGTTGAATGAACATTTCTTCACATGATTATCTTAATTGAAACCCAATGAAAGAAAATAATAGGATGGAAACTATTTTGGAATAATGTTAACAAATTTTACTGCACCAGGTGCGCATTTCATCAAATAATGTCTCTTCAGTGATGCTCAGGATATTTTGAGATACAAGCGTTTTCTGGGCCTTAGTTGTAATAAACTTGTGTATCCCGTCAAACATTTAGACGATTTTACTATCTCATAAATCGATTACGACGATACAAGTCAGGGTAAAAAACAACAAAACAAATCATGGTTAAAAACAACAAAACAAATCAAGGTAAAAACCAAAAATTGAGGAAACCCGAAAAAAAGTGAGACCGGGTGCATCGACATGGTAACAATGTACGAATCAACTACCATACACACTCAGTCAAAATGTTGCAATCAGGAATACGACTACATCTCTTACATACAGATTACACGACTATTCTGTTATATAAAGATCTTAACAACACAACAACATGTCATAAGTTAGTCGAGACACAGGCACATTGTATCGGTCAACCAATTCGTGATGGTATCGTAAAACTTGTGACGTGTCGATTTCAATCGCTCTTTCTCTTAATTCTGCTGGAGCAGTTTGTTTGAAAGGAGCAAAACCCCTGTTAATAAAGTCTGCATAGTGTAAACATGCAGGACCGTAACGTATAAATTGAGATATATAAACATCATACAATAGGGCAGAGGATATTTAACTGCTGAGAAATTTGAGGTTGACAATGGGAAAGTTGAAATCATCACGTTTGTCATAGATTCTAGTTTGAAGTCGTCCATCTGTGTCAATATCGAGGAAAAGGTCAAGATATAAAGCAAACTTTCTAGTATCGGTAGTGTCCTTAATTCAAACTTCACTGGGATATATGAGATGCAATATATTTGTAGCGTCAAAATGTTAACATTTTCGAAATTAAACATTTCGTGTGTGAAGTCGTTATCGACAAACAATTCAGTAAGAACTAAAAATATAAAAATAAGAAATGTGGCATGATTGCCAATGAGACAACTCTCCACCAGAGACAATCTGACGTAGAAATTACGTAGAGGTTAACAAATATAATGGGCCAATGTACGGTCTTCATGAATGAGCAAAACACTTACCATCCCAGCAAGAACTAACAAGTCGAAATAAATATAATAAAAAGTATTACCGGGGTACAATTTGTTTTAACTTTTATTTTGATTTAACAAATATTTGTGTAGGATGAACAATTATGCGGCGTTTAATATATATAGAATAGCTTATCAAAAAATTCAAATGTTGACAAACTATATTTCATGAGTGAGGAACACCACAATAATAAACGAATGGAATTACCGTATGGGTAAATTATCTCTGTTAATAATTGTTGGGTCAAGAATTAATATTTGTCGATATTGAATTCTTAGTTTAGTTATTCTTTTTATTACATTAAATTTGAATGAAATATAAAAGGCAAAGAAATATATATTTGTCTACGCGTTTTCTTAACGTTTTGACAATGCCTATGGTTGTATGACGTCAGAGGAGGGAAATTACAGATTTAGGCCTACTTTGAATATAAAAAAATGGCTTTTTTACCGGAAAATCACGGTATTTTATTATAACCTGTGTAATACATAAAAAGAATTGACGCTTGACATGTATTCTCGATACTTAAAAATTGATGAAACTCCATGACACGGAATTTCACAAAGCTATTGAAACATGACAAATTGATCAACTTTAATTTTCTTATCTACACATTTCAGTGTATACCTTTCCGTGCTAATTAAAAATTGATATGTTTTACCGTTATACATCGTTTCCGTCTGGTTTAGCTGATTGCTTTCCACCATATTACTTAAGACTGGTGTATTTATGCCAATTAGGGCATGTGAAATCTTTTATGCAAAAATTTGCTTACGTCTGAGTTAATTTTATAGTTTGTTTATTTTCCTCCTATCTCAACTCTCTTAAAGTATTATTTCAGTTTAATAATTGCAACCCAAAATTCGAATAAATAAAAGGAGTTGTAGGGAAGACGCTAATAATACAGTAACCAAAGACTTCTATAGGAGTCATCATACTTTATTACGGCCATATCATTTAAATAAGCTACTGTCATATAAGTGGGAGGTTTATCTAGCTATAAAACCATGATTAACCCACCATATTCTTCGCAAAATGCCTGTACCAAGTCAGGAATTTGACAGCTCTTTTCCATTCGTTCCGTTGGTTGATTTAGTCTTAACGTTTGATTTTGTCAGGTTTTATGGACTTTCCTCTCTTTTTGAATTTATCTTGGAGTTCGATATTTTTCTTAATATCTTTTTTTATATTCATCTAGGGGTCAACCTACTTTATAACAGCCATACGATATATATTCATATTCAAATGCCGAAAACATTCAGTTTATATTTTTCTCCAATATTTTTTATTTATTTATGCAGACTTTTATATACATAAAACAAATAAAAGATTAAATGTGCAAGTGAGGACACTAAATATATTCAGAATATGCACTTTATTTAAGGGGGAAAATGGCAATTTCAGAATGAAATTAAATTATCTTACTTAAACATGACAATATTCTTCAGACGCGTGTGGAAAGTTACACCATTTTGATTCACTGTTGTGCGACATGCTAGGCACACATACAATACAATGATTTATCAGATAATTGAAAACACTTTTATGCATTCAACAAGATGACCACCATGCATTTAACAACAACAGGAAATAACCGAGACGTTATCGCCTGACTTTTAAAACTGATTTTGTTTTAGCTCTATCTATGGAATAGCTTCCTAACTATGATTTGTGCTTTCCTGAAGTCAATGAAGGATCAAAGAGAGGTTCAACTCCTAGAGTTATATATGAGAAAGGAAATTCGCCGAGAATTCAAAAAGCAAAACAGCAAGCAACACGATTACCCGCCAAGTAAGATACTGTTGTAGTAATACACTGTATTGCAATTAATTTATGGTAAATGATTATGTTTTTTAATTTTTTATAGCTATCTAATGCAAGTATTTGTTAAGATGTATCAGCAATGAAAATATTTTGGTTAGCAAGCCAATTTTATGATAAACATATAAAAAACAAAAGAAAACAAAAATCTGTTTTATCTGGAGATAAATTCCTTTATTTTCATAGATAGGGTTTTGAATATGACACATTAGTGTTTGATGAACTGGTTACTTCAGCAGCACCTGAGTTAACCCCTATTTGTTTAAAGGGGTTCATGCTACTTTCGCCTTTTGCTGTAGTAATCTGTGTTGTGTTTGTGATACATAATTATTCTTTATGATATATGTTGTTTCAATGGATAACAATCGTTTAGCCGGGAAAAAAAACTGTTTAAAATTTAATGTTCGTGTTTGTACAGGTACTAGTGTTAGGCAATTAAATAATTCACATGCAGCACTGGTTTATAAATTTAGCAGGGTTAGGCATGGACCATTTACCAACCCGTTATTGCTTGATATACTCGGATATGCTTCCTACCCAATATTTGACACGAGGGAAACTACTGACTCTTCCGGAGCACCTGAGATCAGCTCCGGTTTTTAATGGGGTTCGTGATGTTCAGTCCTCTGCATTGTGGTTTGTAGACTTGAATTGTTTGTCTGTTCATTTTCTTCTGATGATTTTTTTACTAGTTCCTTCGTATGACTCGCTATTTATATTAATCTTTTGGTTTTTTTTTTATGTAGCTTGTGTACTGTCTTTTTGTAATAGGGTTCCTTCTCTGATTTTTCATGTAGGTTTTATACCACCGAAACAAACAAAAACAGGAAACGTGTAATAGATTTGGGAATACATAAATGTTAGCCGCGCAAGCGCTGTAATAACAGAAACAGAAAAAGCTTATTTGGGGTTACAGAATGTAGTTGTTGTGAGAGCCTTGACCTTGATATTGGAAAAGTTTTTGTTTTCATTGCAACTACATGAAAGTATACTGAGTTTAGGTAAACTGGACATTTGTGGTAACCCTTGTTCCAAAATAGCTTTTTCTTCTTTGAACTAGTTAGACTGAATTTAAATAAATCATTTAGACTCTCAAGGTTTATAGGATTTTATTTTTAGTATCTAAAACCAAAATGAAGTATTAACCATTCATCATCAGTGATCCTTCTTACTGTGATTTTGATGAAATTTCAAAATATCGATGGAAATTTGACTTTCATCGTTTGGCTCGCTATTTCAATGTATAATTATGGCAATTTAACAAGTTTGGCAATCTCTGATATAGTATATATTTGCATGCAAACTTATCAATTGATGTAAAATTCGGGAGACAAAAGGTTGTTTTGCCAATAATGCAGCTAGATCGTAAATTGTTCATCCTTGGCCTGTCATGATTTTAAGGAAATTTCACGGTAAAACTTTTGACGACTCAGAAAAACAAACAACGAAAAATTGAACTATCAACAAACAAATTCACGAATGCGAGTAGTGCGTGAGTTTATTAAGGTAGATCGGGGTGTCTTTTTCTGGGCATCCCTTCTGGGCATGTTTCAAAAATACTTTTTAGTTGAAAGATATTTGACCAAGTATCCTTCAATATTCAACAGAAACAACTCAAACTTGAAAACTGACATTCCAAAAATTGATGAACTACGATAATGTTATATATAATAATTGCTTTTGGTTTTTTTTTCAAAAACAGATAAAAATGTTACTACTGGATCAAATATTCATTTCCAACCGAGGATTGTGTTGAAAAATCGACTTGTATATGTAGACAAATTACCAATGGATCTACGATTTTGGTGTGAAATTGCAAGGTTAGTTCTTATTTGTTTAATGCTTGCATCCCCTGATGAGAGATCTTGATTCTTTTTAAAATATTTTTTCTTTTTATTACATATAACATATATTTTTAGTTTTGCATATCTGGTTTAGTCGTGCAATGGCCAAGTCGACGTAACGAGTGTCCTATAAAAATTTGATTTTTCTGCATGCAGATAGATCGATCTCATAGATATTATCGAAAAGTGTCTCCAGGAAAGTACTAAATCTCATATTCACTCATGATGGTCTTGATTTTTGGCTCTTTATGCGCTGTTTTCCGACTTTTTAAAGTACAGATTTCTGTATAAATGTTTTTAAAAAGCATTTACATGTGTCAATATATATCTGAGAAACTAATATACCAAATGTATGGCCATGTTTTTAAGCTTTCATAAAATATAAAAAAATTAGGGTACCAGCGCTTTATTTTTTGCTAAGGGTCCTCCGAATCGTATGGTATTTTTAATTGGAAACATTTTCAAATTGGTCGTATGCCTGCAACAGTGCACAATGTAAAACGGGAACATCAAATACACGATTGATCAACAAATGGCGAGAAATTACTTCCACTTGACCTGTGTTTTATTTTTATAAATTCCCCTCTTTACATTTTTTTAACAGATATGTTGAAATGGTGGATTATATTCATGGACTTAAACCCGTTTCACGTAACAACGAAGACTTTTTATACGAGAAGGCAAGAACAATTGTCAACTATTATGTATCTTCCGATATACCTCCTAAAAATCAGGTAAGGTAACATTTAAAAACCGACGTTGTTAATCTGTTGTTATCTTTAGCATGCAAATTTAAATGTTATTTTCAGCTAGAGTGAAGAAATATTTCAACCGGCAGCAGAGTTAGAATTTGTTACTCTCGTAGGTTTTTATACTTTCTTATGAAAACCAAATTACAAATAACTTGACGTCATAACGAATTAGCTGTTTTTTTTTTAAACCTAATGAGGAATTAACACAACGTATTTAATCAAGTTACCCGCAGTGTACATCAAGTTCAATTCTTTTAACACATTTTCAGCTGAACATTTCCACTGACTTAGCAACAAATATATCTAACTCACTGGACAAAGATGGACCAACCAGGGGACTTTTTCATGATGCACTCCTCGTAATATTCCCGCTTATTTACCATTACTGGAGACAGTGAGTATTCATTCTCCATACCTTTATAACCAAGACATTCTTCTCTATATAGTTAGTCACATTAGCGGTAACTGGAATTTAACACATGAAAATTTGTAGTTGGTGGCTCTGCTTATGACCATTATAAATTATATTTGTATAAACATATCTAATATGGCATAATTTTGTGTGTTCTAAAGAAACATTTTTGGACATTATGAAAACAATAGTTCTTGTTCTGTGATTTGTATTCCTTTTTGTGTTTCTTATCCTAAGAGCTTGCTATAATGTATAGACAACAGTATTATTGTTGAAATCCGTATATTTACCTCTAGAGGTCTTGTGGTTGTTTGTGTTGTTGGGTTGATGTCTCAATGAAATGAACCTCACATCACTTTTATTTCTATTAATGTAAAAAAATCCAAAAGGCCCTAAATGCTCATAAGACATTAACGGTTATATGTTAGATATGGTATATTTAGATTTTGTTTTGCTTTAGGTCTTCCAACTTTTTGCATTTATAGGAAACTTCTAAAATTGACTCATCTGACATTTTCTCTACAATATTATTACCAAAAATACATTTTACCAAACGAAAAAAAAAAGACCGTTATCATACGTCGAGACAAAAGACGAACTGACGAACAGTAGTACACAAAGCAATAGTCTTTTCGCAGAAAACTAAGTCTAACTTCTCCTTCTTGAGCCTTCTATGCAATATTACAAATGTGTGTGCATTGTTTATATTGTTTTCGAATCTATTTATATTAAACTTGTCTTCTTGTAAAGATGTCAGAAGGAATGGATGAAAAATCATACTGCAGCAGAGTTAATGGAGATGATAGAAGAAGAAGAAAAATCACGAGAAAGACCAAGCACCCCACACAAACTTGAAGAGGTGCCGGACTATCTTAGAATTAGAGCATCTCAAATAAAAGTCGCCACACAGTTCGTCTCCGGATATATTATTGGTAAATTTTATTATTGATGAAAAAAGGGTTATGTCGAGAGAGGGAGACTTTTGATGTCCGATGGATCCTTTGTACATTAGTCCTTCCGTTTAACTTTTGGTTTTCGGACAGAACATTAGACATTTTTTTTTACTTGTTGATCAGGTAAAGTTTCACTTTGGCAGGTATGTCCCTTTTTATAACGGAATTTTGATTTTTTTTTTATGTCGGACCAACCACAATTAGAATATGTTGAAACTGTTGAAAGATGTAATATACTTTCTCAATGTATCTAGATTATTCAATTAACGATGTTTTTTGTAGTTAGGGGTTATGATTTTATCCATACAAACATACATTACCTATTGTTTTTACGCCAGTAATTTCCCCTGCGTAATGGAACGTTATATTCAAGAAATGGTAAATAATGTCTTATATTGATATACGGTAAACGATGTACTAGACGTGTATACAACATGATAACTCATTTTGGTCACATGGCCAGAAAGGTTTGTGTGAAATTTAACCTTCATTAGGGAGCTACCATTTGATTTTTATGGGGAGGGGGGGGGGAGGGGCTAGGATGAAAAATTTTGTCCTGCCTATTTATTTTTCCCTCTATTCAGTCCTGCCTTTTTATTTTTCACTCTATTCGGTCCTGCCTTTTTTTATTAGTTTATCCTGACTTTTTTTACCTAAATTGTCATCCTGCCTTTTTTTTTTGCAAAGTGTCTCATCCTTCCTTTATTTTACTCAAAACTCCTGCCCTGCCTATTTTTTTCAAATTTCATCCTAGCCCCCAATAAAAATCAAATGGTAGCTCCCTTAGGCGTCCGTCCTTCGGCCTACATGATGGTCGTCGGTCTGTGAATTCCTTAATCGGCTATCTAGTTGTAAACATGTTTCCATTTTTTCCGCCGATCAACTATATTAGCCGACGTACCTAAAATATAAGATAGGAGGTGAAATACGTAAAGTAACTTTTCCTTTTATTGTATGCTTATTTTAAGTGTAAATTAGTGTCATAAATAACTTCATAATGACAGATTACGCATGATTTTCGTTTCAGTTGACATGCAATTTCCTAAAAACAACAGAGTTCGCCTGTTTGCAAATACATATATTAAACTGTGCAATTCATCGAACAGTTAGTAATATTAATTTAGTTGTGTATTGACGAACCTACTTTTAACCTTCTTATTGCTACAGAACTTGAAAACATGTCTACTCTGTTGTCATCGTGCACTGACAATTAAATGAGATAGAATAAACCATTATAGATATAAGAAGATGTGGTCTGAGTGCCTATGAGACAACTCTCCATCCAAGTCAATAAACATGTAAAAGCTCTCTCACAGGCAAACAACCCATAATTGAAAAATATAAGGGCATACACCACAAGCACGGGGACACATTCTACTGCATCCACACAGCACGAGCAACAAACCCTGCAGTAAATAGATATAAGAAGATGTGGTATGAGTGCCAATGAGACAACTCTCCATTCAAGTCAGTAAACATGTGAAAGCTCTCTCACAGGCAAACAACACATAATTGAAAAATATAAGGGCATACACCACAAGCACGGGGACACATTCTACTGCATCCACACAGCACGAGTAACAAACCCTGCAGTTAATAGATATAAGAAGATGTGGTATGAGTGCCAATGAGACAACTCTCCATCCAAGTCAATAAACATGTGAAAGCTCTCTATAATTATTTGTGAATCTTGTCCTGTTTGACAAGATATTGATTTGATTAGGGTCATGATACCTTTTTATTGTATGAAAATGTAATGAGTAGTTGCAGAGTAAATGTGATTTATGTGAAATCCCCACCCTTCGTTCCTATCCATCCACTTTGAAAATCTTACCTATTAGATTTATTGTTAATTTGGTTTCGTCCTGAATATGCAGGAATTGAACTTTAAGAATACATGTACACCAATCAATCAAACAAACAATCACCATCAATGATTTGTCCATGAGACCGTTACCTATAGAAACCAATAAAACATTCAAGATGTCGTTTTATTTTTTTATCCAGATAGAACTGGTCAACAATTTAAATTGCGCCTCAGAGTATATAATCTAGTATAGAACGGGTACATCTTTCAGTCTGTGATAAGATTCTGTTCTATGGCAGTGTGATCAAAACGGTTCCGTTGACTTATAAATCAGTTCTAGTATTTCCCGCCTTCAGTGGTAAACATGTAAAGTTTGAAAAGCATAATTTTACTTCTTGTAGATGAAGATCAGTGGATTATTAATTTTTCACTTGTTGATGGCATGCGAATTTTACTTCCTCAACCTAAAAACGTACCAAAACATGGCCGTAAAGGGAGTTTGGCGACAAGACGAACAAGTGTCATGGAAAAAGGCTCCCATAAAACCGTTACCGGAAGTGACTCTAAGATGAGCGAATCTTCACACAAGAAAGAAAAATCAAAAGACAAGGAAAAGAGTAAGCTGAAAACAAAATCGAAAAAGAAAATGGATGCTCTAACAGAGGAAGCTGATTCAAGGTTTTCGTCTCAAAACATTAAACCAACCAAGTCAAGGAGCTCCCATACACCACCAGAAGGCAAAGAGAAACTTGTAGATGAACTGGTGGAGAGATCATCCAAATCACCGAGTCGTCTTAGAAAAATGAACGACCTTGTTTCTGCGGCTATACAAGACGACATTGATCAAGACATATTTGGAACTGAATGAATATTTATCTGACATAATAAACATACTATTTTGATTCTAATGATCTGATTCACTGGTACATAAATAATTTAAATCGTACAGAAGCCTGTAGTGTTTTTTAAGAATGCTGTAGTTCCTTCAAAAATCAATTTCAGCAAAGGTCTGATATCCATGATATCCTACATATATTCATAGAATTTTGTAATTTTAAATAAGTTCAAAATGGCAATTTTTAGACTAATATAAAAAAAGGAGATATGGTATAAGTCAATTTATAGAACATACTTGAGTACACTTGATACTGAGATTACATTACTTTTTATTTTATTTTATTTTTTTTGCCTATTTATTTTTTTTCTTGCTTCATATAATTTATCAAACTATAAAACCAGGTCTAACCCACCATTTTCTTTTAACACTTTCACTCCTGATTTATTATTTTTCGCGGAATTTTTAAGCCGAAATAAATTATCACGAGACGATTGCCTGACCGGAATTAATTTGACAGGTGCCGCGCAAAAATGACTATCGTATGTCTGATCGCTCATATCTCTGGAACGGATGGGAATTTAGTCTCAAAAATTAACACTCGTAGTCTTTATAATGACCTATTGAATCTTGAAACACCGTCGTTCTATAGGTAATGTTATATTTGTACACCGAAATGGTGTTATCTATCTCTCAACGTAAGTTTTGTCAGTGAAAATTGTCCATTCGATTTCGTTTGCGTTTGGGCAATAATTTCTCTATTTTAACCCATGGATGTTTACTAGAATGAGCCTACGTACCGTCTGAAAAAATTCGTCACAAAGTAAATTTTGTTCGAGTTGTTTTTTCAAAAATGTGATTGAAAATCGTCCGACGGTCACGAAGGTGAATGACCGCCATTTTGTACACAACAAGGCTGATTGAAGGGAGACAACACCATCTGTTATTTTGAATTCCCATTTGCAACGCTGGAGTTGTCTTTCTTTTACCCTTATATAAGCATACTAACATTCAGCTTGAGTCATAAAAAATAATTTTCTAACATTTTAGACTCCTTAAAAAGTGTTTAATATCAACATTAAACAAAGACTTACACAATTTTCAGTCTGGTTTTCAATTACATCTGAGACCTTGTCTGCCTGAGTAAACAGCTACTGTCCTTCACAAAAGTTCATTTATAAAAAAATGTCAATGTATTTAATGTTTTTTTCCATCCATTTTCTAAAAAAGTTTAACAATAAAACTGTCAACTATTGTCATAATTTCGGAACAAACTTCAAAAAACAGAACAACAAATATACTGCTCTCAATTATAGCAGTTCCTCTCTGTGTGGTATTTTGAGAAACACTCAGGCAGACACAGGTGTTTAACACATTCCAAACATCCAAACTTAGTCTGCTTAATAGGAACCTGGCGATTATTTCGGTTTCTCATGTAACAGAGATGGCACTTAGATTTTTTATCAAAGGAGGCCGGCATGTGACGTTGAACAAGACGGTTCTCAACAGGCATAAGTGATGGTCTTCCTCTACGGGTCTCAGAAATATAACCATTAACCAACCCCTTGGCTACAGAAATGGAAAAGTCCAGGAATGTCAGATTTGTTTGGTGGTTGGGACTCATGAGAAACAGTTTGAAGGCATTAAATTTAGCCATTTCCATGAGCACAAAGAAAACTCTTTTGCTCCACTTGTAGGTTTTATGGTTGTAGCAATAGTACTGAATGTATTGATCAGCATGATCAACACCACCCATGTTACATGTGTAATCAGCTACTGCCTTAGGACATTCAAAATTTTGTCTAGTGAAAGTTCCATCATTATTGACGAGCCTTTTTAGTTGTGAAGTTGAATGGTCATGGATTGTTGAAACAGTGTACACATTTTTTTTGTCACGCCAAACGGAAGCAACTAAAAATCCCTTCTGCCTGAATTTCATGTCTCCACGGAGGTTGATACCAGAAGGTTTTTTACACATTATGTCCTTAGGTAACCCTCTACGATTGTATCTTACTGTACCACAGGCATAGGTACCAAAGTTTTCAAACAGATTAGCAAACAACTCAGGACTGGTGAAAAAATTATCTGTATAAAGATGGTACCCTTTACCAACTAAATTTGAATTTTCCAGGCATCTCTTTACAACACTGCTACCAAGGTGTGTCTGGGGGATTGCATTTCGTCCTGGATAAATGTCCACATACTGGATATAACTTTGTTGTGAATCTGCTAAAACCCAAGCTTTCACACCCCATTTGAGTGGTTTCTGTGGCATGTATTGCTTAAATTGTACCTCCCTTTAAATGGTATCATTGTTTCATCCACAGTGATGTTTCTGTGTGGGGTGTATTCCTGTTGAAAGGTGGTATTAAAATGTGTAAGTAGTGGTTTTATTTTCTATAGCGGGTCATAATTTTCATTGCCAGGCAGAGGTTGTTGTGTAGAGTCGGAGAAATGAAGATATCTCATTAACTGAGTAAAGCGATCCCGGCTCATGGTTTTGGAATATATTGGTGATTGCAAAAAGTTGTCTGTGGACCAATACATCCTTGTTGAAGGTTTGCGGTCTACACCCATCTCAAAACATAGGCCAAAAAAGGCATTCATCTCAGGTATAGTTGGTCTCACCCATGGCATCTTGTTTTCATTGGGATGGTTTTCTTTTTGTAATTTTGCATATGTGTCTGTTTGCTCTATCAGCATCTCTAGCAGGACATGATTAAAGAAAAGCTTGAAGAAATCAAGAGGGCTTTTATCTTGAGGCATGATTCTTGTAGGGCCAGTTCTCCCAGTAGGTGTAAAAAGATGTGGCAACCCCCGCTCATAATATGAAAAATCCTCATGCCAGCCATCAATATTTCCTGCATCACCAGCAGGTCCAGGTATATCATTATCAGATCCTTCTGAACTTTCATTACCATCCGTGTCATCACCTATACCCTGAAATTGCAATTGTTGTTCATATCTTGCTTCAGCTTCGTCGACCTCTGCCCGGGTGAAACCTTCAAAATCATCGGATTCATCAGACGACATTTTTTTATGGGTGATATTTTACGAAGAGACGAGACTTACTTCCATCACTATTTTTAGTAAAATTATCCCACAAAGATGACTAAAATTTCGCTAAATAAACACATTTATTTAATAAGCATCTAAGAAAATAGTTTTAATCTTTTTATAAATTGAATCAAGCGAAAAAATGAACTTATTCCGGATGGTATAAGTTATGTCGCCGTGATTCCGCCATGTTGTTTTCATATTTTCCATAACAACATCAATTTCCGGCTTTCTATTTTTAGCTTGTTGGTTTTATTACTCTTAAAATAATAACACGGGATGACGACACTAACAAAAAAAATTGAAAATTATCTTGAAAATCACAGGAATTTAATGACATACAACACGATACCAGAAACTTAATTTTTAGTTGATTTTGAGGCGATCAAAAAAGTGATAGAAAATCGAGGAATACGAGCACCTGCCAGACACCACGAGGCTTGATTTCGAATCTAAAACACCATACAAATGATTGAAAATTGATAGACTAACCTAAAATATGTTGTAAAGTTCTAAAGGAAATTATTTTTTGCTGTTTTTTGATGCTTTCTTTGTCAAATTTACGAGAATGTTGTTGGGATTATTCTCGTCCGCCATGTTTGTTGTAGTCGTAAACTTTTTTCAGATACGCTTCGAAATTTGACACTTATTGCCAACATTTTTGGTAGTTTTATTCTTTTATTTCTTAAATTGAAATATGTTTTAAAAATAGTTTTAACCATTCTACGTTCTCAGTTGTAAAAACATGCATATTGCACTCTTGATTGCGATAGTCTAAAAATAGAAATTTAGGTATCCTTAAGGATAATTTCGGCATCTACACCGATGTTCCAAAAGGATCATTTCCGCATGCGCACGAGGGTGCCAAAAGGATAACTTCGGTATGAAAGGGTTAAAAATGCCTGAACCAAGTCAGGAATATGACAGTTGTTTTTTGCTCTTTCCGTTGGTTGATAACGTTTGATTTTGTCAGTTTTTATGGGAATTCCCCTCTACTTAATTTACCTTAGAGCATTTTGGTTATTATAAAATTGAGAATGGAAATGAGGAATGTCAAAGAGACAACAACCCGACCAAAGAGCAGAAAACAGCCGAAGGCCACCAATGGGTCTTCAACACAGCGAGAAAATCCCGCACCCGGAGGCGGGCTTCAGCTGGCCCCTAATCAAAAATGTGTACAGTCTAGTCCATTTAAATATAACTTTTTGCAATTGAAAAATGTGACGTAGACGTCATATAAGAGAACACAAGAGTGCACACGCTGAAATGTCTCGCCTGTTTTACTTATCATTGAATTCATGTTGAAAGACTGTAATATGAAGGTTTTACTACAAGTATCACTTAAACTTAACATTATCAAAGATCCATGAAAATGAAGTCACAGTCAGATGAACCATGCCACACATGTACATCTAACAATCATTTCATACACCAAAAAAGTACCTGAGAAACCTATCAAACCACAAAATCTTAACATGGACCAATTAACCATGAAAATAAGGTCAACGTAATATTAACCCTGCCAAAACAGACATGACACCTTACAATCACTCCATACACCAAATATAGTTAACCTATTTTTTTATAGTTAAGGAATGACTGTAATATTTTTCTGTCTATGAAGAAATAACATCAAAAATGTGATGCACACTGAATAACCCGCGTAGCAGGTTATTTTAAAGTGTGCACCACATTTTTTATGTTATTTCGAATAGACAGAAAAAATATTACAGTCATTTCTTATAATTTAATTCTAAATTCCATTTTAAACCGTAGTAAACCATGAAAAAACGTTGATGACGTCACGGTCACATGACTAAATTATGTCTATGAGCTGATAAACAAAACAACGTCAGCCAATCATGAAAGTAACTGATGAAGAAAAAATCATATGTTGGTGCACTTCTTATTTGTTACAGCCATTTAAAAGTACCCATTTTAAATGATTTTACTATTTTACATCATTTCTTACCCAATTTTGGGCTATTATCATGAAAAAAAATCACAGTTTTACAATTACACTTTTTTTTCATACTTTCACTCCAGACGAAGTGGACCAATCTGTATACATTTGACTTAAAAAAGCTATAGATGGTGTTGATATAAGAAAGATTTATAAGAATTTGTTGCGTTTTTGTTTCAAATTGATCGTGCTGTCAATTTTGTAAATTTGGGATTTTTCTCTTTTTTAGAACAAAAAGCATGTTATTTCAACTTCGTTGTTATAAATGATTGAAAAAAATACATATCTAAGAATTTTAAAAACCAAAAAATTGATATGGGATGTACATATTTTTGGTAAAATCTTTTCTTTGTACCTCTCACCCATTTTCTCAATATTTTAGCTGATGACACTTACCGGATTGGTTATAAAATTTGAAAATTTTATTACTCAAAAACTACGTTTCGTTTTTTAAATTCATTAATATATTCCACTTGTATCACATGTTTTGGAAATAATTCCCGAACGAGGCTGGGCCAGGAAAACATCTGTCCATTTTTGTTAAAAAATGGTCCCTAGTTCAAGGTCAAAAGGGATGCAAGTAACACAAGTATGGGATATTTCTAGCATTAGGACTTGTAATTCTTCCCGCATCAGATCAGTCAGGCTAGGCTGGGTCAATCTACAAAAATTCACACAGCAATTGATAAACTTTTCTGTTGATCTTATTGTTATCAAAAAGTGTTGCCTTATGAGAGTATGAATAAAAGATGTGGGTATACATGAAAGAGACAGGAACCTGACGAAAAGAAAAGCGTCTACACAATATGTCAAGCTCTAAATCACCTAGAGTCGCTCTGAAATATTTCCTTTTTACTTATTGTTCTAAAGTTCAAGAAAGAGTGACAGAGACTATGTTTATGAAATTTATCAGAACAATGCCAGTGAATCAATGCTGGGATCGTCCCGCATTAACGAACGGAAGGGACTGGTCGCCACCAAATTTGTTAATTGTATCTTACAGTTGAGATCCTCAATGGAATAAGCAAATAAAACAAATAATCTTATCAATCAATTTCCAAATTCTAATTTAACAAAAAGAGGCAGTTGCCTTGCAAAGATTACGAGGGAAAGCTAAATGTCTTAAATTTCACCATACACCGTTCAACACTGAGCAACATGCAGTATATCATGATAATTCCTTAAAACAATGAAATTAAATGATTCACAGTGTAGCACCATTCAAATAATAACTATAGTAGTCCATTAATTATGAATCAACTGTAATACTAGTAAGTACAAAAGTTGAATAAAAAAACTTTTAGAGAAAAAAAAAATGGTCCCTCTAAAAAAATAAAGAACAAGCTTCATTTATGAGTACTGAATTTCCGAAATACGTTATGTCACGTATACTGTTCACGTATACTGTTTCATTAATTTTCTGTGAAAAGTTACTGCATATCATTTATAATTGAAATTGTTATATCCGGTTGGTTTTAAATTGTTTTTATAAAAAATCTTGTATTAAATTATTTTAAGTTGTTTTAGAAGCTACTTTGAAAAAAGGGAATGTAGTATGATTGCCAATAAGACAAATATCCACCAGAGTCCAAATGACGTGGATATAAACATCTATAGGGCACTTTAAGGCATTCAACAATGAGCAAAATCCGTATCATAATGTAAGCCATAACAGACGTGACAAAATGTGAAACGATTCAAAGGAGTAATCCAAAGGCCTGACTCATGCTAAAGACAAAAAAAAAAGGGGGAGCATTAATCGTCAGTTCACTCATCAAGCCTATGTTTGGTATTGTTTCACTGTTCAGTCTAAATTTGACATGAATTGTGAAGTGTAGAAAACGACTCTATCAATCAAGAGATAAATGAATTTTGGCCCATTGAAAATTTGCAATGAACCATCATTTGCATAAATGGCCCAATGATTTTTAAAGGCCATAGGCTCATAGCCAAAATTAAAAAGTTCCCGTTTACTGCGTTCATATGTTTACAAATATTTATACATGTTTATGGTATGTAGTATTAAATTTCAAACAAAGTACGTCTGTGCTTTGTTCTGTTGGCATACTACTGACGGATTTACAAAATATACATGAATACGGTAGTTAAACGCACGTTTCAGTTACGTAGGATTTTTCTTGCCCTGAAAACCCTCTACATTTCTATAACAAATTCGTGTATTCTTATACAATTAATTTATTCTGAAAAAAGTCGAAGGACTCCCGTGATAATTACAACACAGCAACGGCCTGTCA